TCCCATTGGTTGTGCAGGGCCTCCCTATTTCTTTGTTGGCTTTAGGATCTCATTGAAGTATCCATCACACACCCATGGAAGTGTATTAACACCAGCAAGGTTTTGAAGAAGAGACCAGGATTGTGCACGATCCAAAGTGTTTGGATATTCGTAAAAGCCAGTGTAACGCCAATGTTCCTTATCACCCATACCATTAATTTCGGCATCAATGTGGTAAAGAAAAAATGATAATACATGCACCTTGAGTTCTTCATTCCAAAGAAAACCAACATCTCCAGATTTACCTCTGGAACTTAACCCCCCCCCCCCCCCCCCAAACAATGCGAGAAACCCTAACGCAATTGAATTTTTTAAATACTTTCGACACTACATTTGGTTTCACATAGGAAAACCAAATTGGGAGCTTTCTGCTTAATGAAACTAAGCAAATCTTGAACTTTCTGAGGGTTCCTAAGCCCTCAATAGTTCCAAACTATGATCTTCATTGTTTGCAGTAGGGCTGGAACTTGCCAACCTCTACCGATTGTGCTTAAGTTTTGACCTGCATTGTTTTTACCCAACCATCCCAATCTCTCAGCTTCTTGCATCTCCTTGGAAGGGCTAACAGGCACCTCCTTGAGATTTCATTCTTGCCCAGCCTTAGTATACTTCCTGAGTCCTAACATTTTTCCCCTATGTCTTCCACGACCACGCTTACCACCACCACTACGGTTGATTATGGCAGAGTGTGAGAATTTACCAATAAAATTCACTGCTTTTAATCTTTTCTCAGGTCAGTGGAGTTCATCCCGATTTTTCCTTTTAGAGGTGGCATCGTTAACACAAACAGCTCTTTCATCAGTAGTAAGGTTATCAACTTCCACGTGGGAGTGTTGAGAGTCATCCACCGTTTGAGAGGGATAAGGTAGGCTTTCCCCATTTTCTAATTCCATTATTCTTAGCAGCCCACTAGGCTTAGCCACCTTGCCTTTCTTAATATCTTTATTTTCAAATGGGCTTGCCAGCAGATCAGTAGCATTTGTAAAGGCCTAAGATGGGACTTTTCTTGGATCAAACCAATTGATAGCAAGGGTAAGGGTTCCATTGTGATAATGTGTCCCAAAACTGTCTAGATGATCTATATTGCCCTAATTCAGTAAAGATACCTTTGGTGGCATACCTCTCGACTCCTTAGAACTTCTCGTACCGTCTTGTGAGGCTAAACCCACAGAGTTGGTCACGTTGCACCCAGAAGCAACAGAATGAGGTACAGCCTGAATACCAGAATTCCTGCTGCTCCACTGACTTTTCCAGGCACACAAACATATACCTCCTTATCCACATTAGCATCATCGTGTGGTGACTCCAATTCCCACCTCCTCCACCATTGAATGTCATTGGCACTACCAGACATAGGATGAGGTATATGGTCAGGGAAAAGGCTTGTCATAGCTTTCAGGATCCCTACTGCTCGTAATTCCAAGTTGTATCGGTTCTCCCTATCTTTACTGATAGGGGCCTTCCACCAGCAGTTGCGAACATGGCCGAGCCACCCACAGTTATAACAAAATCCTTCATCTCCTCATATTTCAGGCGGAAGGTACGACTACCGTTAGTAGAACTTGGCATAGTGAAATTCATAAGAGAGGCCTAGTAGTATTGAGATCCACTATGATGCGAAGGAACCCACGAAACCCAGTTACTGTTAGGTCCTCAACCTCCAGCACCGAACCGATTTTAGCCCCCAAAATATGAGCATTCTTAACAATACAATAATTCCTCAGGATTCCATGAACTTGAACCCAAAAAATGGCACGATTCCCACTAATTTCATATGGCGATTGATAAAGAGGCCAAAATTTAACAGTAAAGGGTGCACCTTTGATAAACCAGCGATTACCTTCCAGATTCTTCTAGCACTTTCTCATCCTCCACCTGAATAGAGTAGACATTCAGTTTGGCTCTGGAAACCTTGATGTTACCCATTTTCCTCCATAGACTTCTATGCACATCCTTCACTATCAGTTGGGACGGCTCCACATCAATGATGAGTAGACCCATCAGATGAACTGATTCTGTAATTCTCTCTTCAAGATCTAGACTATCATCAAAGGTTATTAAGAGATAGTCCATAGACTCCTCATCGATGAGGAGATCTGAAGAATCCATTCTCCCAAGCCTAGAACTCAAACCTTAACCATGGAAAAATTGAAATTAAACCGTACAGAAACCACAAAGGGTCACAAATCTCGCAAAAAAAAAAAATTGCACTCAAGGAACCATCTAAGGTCACCAGCAACCAACACCTGATACAAAGCAATCTTGGGTTTCAGATTAAGATTCACCAAGAGAGATGATGGGAAGCAGTGATGGGAAGGTAGGGATAGGGTGGAGAGCCTTCTTCTTCATCACTTAGAAAAAGAATAACTGATGAGTCTTTCTTTGGGAAGGTTTTTCTTCACATTTGTGTACCCTGTTTTGATAGACATTCTCGTGACTGATCGTATTTTTTAAATAGTTTGTTTCCGACTTTTGTGTGTTTTTTAAATGGTCAATTAAACAGTATATTCTTAATTACATCCTGCAACGCAAACTTTGTGATGGTTTTGGACTAATCCATTTTTTAATATCATTAAATTACTCTAATTTTAGACAAAACCATGGTTCTTGGAACAGACATGCATATTTGCTTACGTTCTTTTGTTTTGCCAACGTACGCGTATGTGAAATCTGTCGGTCAACGGACACCCGCAGAGTATAATTTATTTGTACACAACTTCACGTGGAGGTGTTTATTTGGAATTTTGGGACTCTACTAACAGAATATAAAAATTTTACCAATAAACTAATATGCTCAAAAGTATTAATTATTTTGACTAAAAATAATATTAATTAAGCATTCGCATAGTTTCGACTTTAGAAATGGGGACGAAAGAAATAGTATGAATAAATAACTAGTCGCTTAAAATTGATGGATCACATTGCCGACTGTGATCTATCGGACTCGATATGGGATTGCACTTCAATATTAATAAAATAATTATAGTTTATGAGATTTAAACTCAAAATTATTTTTAACAAATTGAAGATTTAAATCAGACTAAATAATCATCAACAATCAAACGTGAATATATTAGCTTAATGCGACTCAGTATATCAAACTTGTATGAGCGAATGACATATGTGTAGAACACTTAAATTTACAATGTGGCAAATAAACGTGATACGTAAAAATATCTTTGCTCTCTAGTTTTTTGGTTGTTTGAATGAATACCTTATCGTTAAATGATAAGTCTTACTCACTTGCAAATAATTTATAACTCAAGCAGTGGTGGGTCTAAGAAATATTATTCAGGGGGGATCAATATGAATAGCACGTACAAGGCACAAATTTTTTATAACGGTGTAGTATGAAAATTAGCATTTCATCAAGCCTTGGTAGGCATGAGGTCATTTTCCAAGTTATATTGCACACCTATCGACATATGTCAATAAATTTTGAGCTAGCATGCCAACAAATGTTAACATATGTCGAGTGAGCATATCGAAAGATGCCCGTAACAAAACATACAAAGGCATGAGGTTAGTAGTTATCCTGCCAAGTACCCCTAGAGGCAATTCGCCGATTGGGAAGCTAGCTTTCAAGGGCATCTTAGATTTTCAAAGGGCAGCACTCAGTCATTCTATGGAGAATTTCTCGAGTTTGGGGGAGTGTCAACTGACCCAAGGTGAGTCCGCCTCTGAACTCAAGTGGTTGAGAGTATTTACTCTTGTATTTGAAACTGTAGATTTGATCTCCTTCTTCACACTATCTGTAATATAAAAAATAAAAAATAAAAAAATATAAAAAACCGATTTGGTTCATCTACTGTTATTTATATTTTAAAGAAAATCAAAAAGAGAAATCTGCTCAAATAAAAAATGTCATGACATCCCTATTCAAAATGCCATAGCAAAAGCTTTTACCTAACACGTATCAATTTCGATAAACCACTCTCTCCTTTTGTGAGAGTATTTCTCACCACCTCATGTGAGTAGTCCTCAATTCCATCGTTCTGCGTTTCCGCTGTCCCTAGGTGTTGCTAGGGTCGGTGGCAGTCCCATGTCTCTCTTGTCTTTTCTTCCTTTCTTTGCTTTTCTAGTAGCTTGCAATTTTTCCCGTCCCTGCCTTCCAAGATCTTCTCCTCCCCTTTCTCTTTTGGCCTTTAATCTTACCATTTTGAGCTCTAATTCCCAATCCTCCTTTTCCTCCATCCTCCCCAACCCATTCCCCTTCAACATCTCCATCATCCCCTTTCATCTTTTCTCGTTCAATCCTCAATTCCGTTCCGGTACCGTCTCTATTTTCCGTGATTTGTCACGGATCTACGGGAGGGTGTGTAGAGTTTTGGCTAGGGTGTTCGTACCACCACCCTTGTTGGCCCTTGTTGGTCCTACCCAATGTTCAACTTTATTGGCGTTGTTGCTCGTGGGTTATGTCTTCCTACGTGCTTCTTTGGTTTCATGGTGGCGGTACTTGAGATGGTCCTTGGAGGATGTGGTGACTTTGTTCTTCACCACTTTTGGAGTTCTTGATGGCGTGATCCAAGGTGCTTGTGGGAGGTATCAGTTTGTGAAGTTCGTTTTGCAGTTTCTGGTGATGGCGACGGCGGTTGCAACTGCAGGAATGGTAGTTTTTTTAGGTTCTCCTGTATTGTTGTTTTTTGTGGGTTGGGCTCTAAGGCTTGCCTTGTGGCTTTGTCTTTTGTGTGTTTGTGACTTTTTCTTTTGTTGTAGTTAACCAATGTATGGGACTTTATTGTACTTGTTTTCTTGGTAATGAATTTTACCATTTGACCAAAAAAAAAAAAAAAAACAAAGCTTATACCTAACGTTACTTAAATACAACTGCGGCTATATAATCTTCTAGAAATGGTCAACGACTAGCAGTGGGTAGAAACGAGTCATTGGACTAATATTCAAAATTCCACATTTGCCCTTCTGCTGTTCTTCAACGTCTATATATAGTCGTCCACAGTTTCACCTCACCATACAATACTGCTAGCTAGCTCCCAGGTCATCGTTTTAATCAATCATGCCGTCCAAGCTCACCAGCCTCTGTGTGGTTGCCCTCCTCCTCTTCCTCTCATTATTCAGCACGACAGCGCGGCCGTTGCCTTCTTCTTCTTGTGATGTCAGTGCAGTGAAAGTTCAACATGAGGTAATTAGTTATTACTAATTATAATTCCTCTTCCAAAACCATATTATAAACTAGCTAACTTTGTGGTACATTTTTTGTGGGTTTTTGCTAATTTTTGTTTTTTGTGATCTTGTTTTTTTTATATAGTTGAAGGATGTTGAGGTAGAAAAAGCCATGGTGGAGGAAAGTTGTGAAGGAGTTGGGGAAGATGAGTGCCTAATGAGAAGAACTCTTGCGGCTCATATTGATTACATCTATACGCAGAAGCGCAAGCCATAATTAATTTTTCATTTCATATGTAATTATGTATCATCTTTCTTGATTAGTCTTGTTGATTCTTCTATACCTTACTAATTTATTTTAGGAATTTTTCTTTGTACTAGCCGGTGTAATATTACAGATAGTTGTGGTGGTTCTTCAATTTTCGGTTCTTTCTTTTTTTTTCTTTTTCCGCGTTCTTTACAGTTCTCCCATATGAGTTATCATCCAAATTCTTACATGATAATAACTAATTCAGGATTAAAATGGTTCGAAGATAAAATATCTACAATAGAAATATACAAAATACCATATACTTTATATGTGAGAGGTTTACTTCTAATTGGATTGTTCTATTTTTTTTTTTTTTTTTGAAAAACTTATTATGTGCTTTAAGAATAATCAGCTGTAAAATAAAGCATATAAATGTGCGATAAATTGCATTTTTCAAAATACCGTAAATATGAAAAGCAGTGTAGAGTGTTTGGTATATCTTAATGTAAAAGTGATAAAATTATATATAATGACAAAAAATGGACATGGTAGTGGGGATGGTGGCGACAACAATGGTGGTGGTGGTGGGGCAATGGTATGGTTATGGTGGTAATTTTAGTAGTGATTTGTGTTGGTTTGGGTGCAGGGGTAACAATGGTGGTAGGGGTTAAGGTTGTGGTGGTGATTGTGATGGTGGAGGAGGAGGTGGTGGTGGTGGTGGTGGTGGTGGTGGTGGCAACAATGAAGGTGTAATTAAGGACGGTGGTGGTGTAATGTTAGTGTTTGTAGTGGTAGGTGGCAGTCATCATTTTGTTTTATAGGAGATAAAATGTGTGTGGAAATACAAATAATGTCATTTAACAAAAAAAAAAAAAACTAATGAGACTATTATAGAAATTGAAAATATTCATTAAAGGCTCCACTTAGCCTTTTACAAAAAATGCTTTTAAAAACTATTGTCAAGAGGCCATTACTTTCAAAATAAACATAATATTTAATTTTACCAAACACTTTTTTTACTGCTTAATTTTAAAGTGAAGCAACTTTTGATGAAAAGAACAATACTAAACGAAGCTTTAATAATATGTAGTTAAATTGAGACTATATTAGTGATGTTAGCGATGAACCATAATGAGCCTACAGAGTTTATCAAAAACTAAGAATGAAACCATTTGAACTACATTGACTCAGAGTCATCACAAACTAAGATTTTACCTTGATGAGAAGTAATAACAATATTTTGAGTTGTCAATGGGCTACATGTAACATTATTATAAAAGTAATGATTCTTGGTTATACATTTAAAGTCAGTTAGTACTACAGTTAAATGTTATTTATCTTCACTTATAAATGAGAGTTTTTAATTTCAAATCACGTGGTTATAGATATTAAAAAAAATATAAAAAAATAAAAAAATAAAAATAAAAAGCATTTAGAGATGAAGATAATAAATTTTCTGTAATTTTGTTGTTACTTGATTAAACAAAACTTGGTAATATGTACTGGATATATATATATATATATAAGTATGGATTGAGTGTACTTTAATCCTAATAATTTGGGGACAGGAATCGTACTGTCGACATTTAATGGATCTAAGATCATGAGATTGTAGCATCCGATGCTCGAATGACTAAGCAAATTTCGTACTTTAATTTGTATCTTGGTCATATGACATGGACAAGATTAATCATGATGAGAACTGCTATTATATATTCATTTAGGGAGAAAAGTTTACTTAGTGGATTCCATACTAATAGATACTATTTGGGGGAGAAACATTTGTGCAATGGTCATACTGTTACGTTAGTGTTGTTAATTTACGTATTATGATTTAGTCGATAATATGGTTAATATTTTGTGAATTTGGCGTAGTTAGATACACGTGTTATAATCTAAATGGATTAGCTAATTAGTAATTAATGAGTCAATTTTATATTATATATTTTAACCCTGATCTTAGTATATTTGGTAATTATTTTGATATTTCAATTTATGTTTCCATTGTAGGACATGAGGCTTCTTTTTGAGCAAAAAGTGCCCTATGGATGAATTTTGGAATGATTCCAATTGGAGAATGTTTGCGAGTCTTTCAACTTGTTCGTGTCAAAGTTTCAAAATTTTCTACTAAGCAGTTAATTTATGGCGATGAATTAAAGAATTAGTGCTTGAAGCTGTCAAAGTGATGTTTTGTGCTTATTTGGGCTTTTTGGCATCTAAGGTGGTGTCTAAGGCCCTAAACGTGTCTATTTTGTAACTGGCTAGTTTCTCCATGTTTGACTGGGAGATTGTTACCTAGTTTTTCTTAATTTATTTTGTATCCTAGTTTTTAGAAGACCTTTTTAGGAAGGATTTTAATTTGTAATAGTGTAAATAAGGCTTATTTGGCTATTAGAGGTTCTATACGGATCAATTTGGAGAACTTGGCTAGGCTTTAGCAATTTATATTCTTCTTTCAATGTGTTTTCTATCCTTTTTCTTAATAATATTTCTTTTGATTTTAATTATGATCATGTGTAACTAACTTTCTTTTGCTAGGCAAGGCCACTAGCCTTAACATGAATATATAGTCTTTATTTAACTACGTATGATACTATGCATGCATATTTTGAATTATTAATTACTGTGTTTAAACTATCTATTTGTGTTAATGATTGCGACCATTAGGATGTTTAGACAGGTAATTGGATGCACTTCAGTCGGAATATCACCAGAGAATTGAGCATGATTTCTTGTGATTAAAAATTATAATTTCACTTAGGATGAATATGTCTTAAGGGTTGCATGGTTTTTCAAAGGGTTTTCGTAAAGCTTAATGAGTTTTACATGTTCATATTTGGTTTGAATATCACAGATGGATTGCATGTTAGATATACGTTCTTGCTTGAATATGACGAGGATAATTTGCATTAGGAAAGCTTAACCTTCAAAGTTGCATATGTAATTCATAAGTAATTAGTAAAACTACATAGGATTGTTAAGATGTACAGCGGAACCCTAGTGTTCTTTTATAATTGTTTTTCAAATTTGCAATTTGGTTTCCTTAAATTTGCATTCTTGCCAATTTATTATATTGTTTTTATGAAAATCATTTTTAATATTAAATTACAAAATCAACTTTTTCTAAACTTTGTTTTAAGTAATTAATTAAGAATTGGTTTTTACATAAATTGTTTTAAATAATTCCGTGGAGAACGACCTTACTTGAGTTGTTTATACTACAATTACATTGTTCTCCTACAAGTATTTTTAAGTGTTTTTATCTCTATTTATGCATGTAGTAAAAATCCTATCAGTAACACACTAACACCACGTGCAATGAGACGACTACTTTAGGAAGTTGTGTACCTAGTAGATGAGCAATTTGTCAATATATCCAAAACACGAACAAGTGATGTTTCTGTTTAACATGTAAATTTTTATTTTCTGTTAATATAACCTACTACATAATTTGTGTTCTTGGTACCCATAAAAGTTTCTGATGGTACATTAACCGCGTAGAGAAATAACTTGGTATTGTATGGAAAGGTTGAGTTTGTGATCTCTCTCCTTTAACACAAAGGAAAAGACCGACTCAGTTACCAGGACATTAGTTGATGCAAAAACACACGATAAGGCTATTTCTTTAGCGGAATCCCTTCTTTTCTGAGTCAACTTTGTAAAATTTCTCTCCATCATTATTGCATATACGCTATCTAGTATTGGTTTCGGAAAAGCATATTTGAATACACTACAATCATCCAAATTCGATTTCTAAAGAATGAAATGGTTGATATTTTATGAACTTCAGTTTCTTAGAGCGTATTTTGTATCCACAACTTCAATTCTTCTCTCCATTTTTTATGGTCATAATCATTTTCGTGTTTCTCAGAATTCCTATTTTATACGTTAATTAACCTAACCATTTTATAACATTTGCTTCTTTTCTCTCTGGTAAGTAAATTCTTGAAGCAAACGCTAGTTCCGTATTTTAGACTTACCTTATTCTTATTCATCACTCTAATTGCTCTTATCTTAACACCAAAATTTGGACCACATACAATATGTTTGGTTTAGAATTTTACTATCTTCCATATATCAAATACATGGTCGTCTCATTTGACCTTAGGCTACGATATAAATGCCCTCGGTATGAGCTAGGACGTGATCGAATGCCCACCATAACTCCATTGATCACTATCAAGAGTCATATGCCTACCCCAATAATCTGGTTGAAAAGTAACGGTGTTATTGCGTTGAGTGTTACGTATATACATATATGCATGGATGTGAAATATGTCATAAGAATTGGATTACATAGTTTTGTGGTATACATGGCAGCGGCAACGTGAGCCATTTCATTTCTTGCAACAAATCAAAGCATGAGAGGATAAGTACGGGTGATCTGTTGTCACCAATATCGATTAATGGTCAACCATATATATAATATGCATGGCTCTGCTTGCTTCTTTGAAGGTTTATTTGTCACCCACTTATTGGAGAAGGACATGCATGGCAAGGGATCCTCTCTGGATTCCTTTCACCAAATCCTAATAATCAACAAATTCGGATCTTTAAAATTTGATTCAACGGTTAAAGTTAATATAACTTTTAAAGAGCCTCCTGTTTTTAGCCGTTAGATCAAATTTTAAAGGTCCGGATTTGTTGATTGGTAGGATTTGGCGGAAGGGATCCAGAGAGGATCCCTTTCCTATACTACTATGGTGGCATTCCACTCTAATAAAATAAAGATATGTGTAAGCATTTGTTCATATGTTTTTATGTCATTGGTATGGAACGTCAATTAATATTGTACCCAGTTTCATATAAATTGTTCTCTACTTATTAGAAGTCTGATGTGTCCTACTAACTTGACGAATTAAGACGTGTCTAATTTAACCTCAACATAAGATGATATAATTTAAATCTCTCACTCATTTAACTTATTGTTCTATATTTTCATATTCTATTTAGTACAGATCTAGAAGCCTACTCGCGATATTCCATTTATTTATATATGAAATTTGGGTCAAAGAAATTAAATAGGATATACATGGAGTGGTCATCCTTCAGAGAGAAGCTTAGCTTTTAATGGTCAACGTTCAACTGCCAACTGCAACCGGCACACACTTGCATAGTTATGCTTATAAGATCAGTTGTTGATTTGGCAGTACTCAACGATGTGCTAGT